GCAGGTTATATACCTGGATTTCACCTGATGGCATGCATAGGAATCAGATCGATTACATATGTGGAAAGAACCGCTGGAGAAGTTCAATATCGGCTGTGAAAACTAGTTCAACATAATGATTTCAAATTTAAGTGATATCCTAATATGTACCAAAACATTCTTTTTTAATGGCATAGTAATATCCCATTGTATGGCTCATAAAGAGCTCTGGTGGCATAGTGCATAACGTGGTAGGCTGCTAACTAAAACGTCAGTGGTATGAGTCCACAGGTAGTTCCGAAGGAGGAAGATAGGCCACCTTGTCCTGTATATATTTACAGCCTCAGAAACCTGACTGGAGGTCGCCGTGAATCAAAATCAACTTGACAGCAGTGGGCTGGATTTGAGTCTGACTTATACCTCATTTGGTTGCTCTGATAGACATCTACTGATAGACATGGGTTATCACCACTTTTTGGCTTTTATTAAGAATACTGTAAAGTCAGTTATTTTAAAGATAGTATTTTTTATATGATGGTTCTGAAAACTATCTTGAAAAGAAACTTAGAGGACCAGACCAGCAGGCCAACGGGTAAGAGTCAAAGATACTCCCTTTTTATTGTCCTGTCTACAAAAGTCAGTCCTTGATAAGTGTTTTATGCATTTTACCTCATTTAAGGGAAAAAAAAACCAAACCCTCATCATTCTTATACCTATTCTAGAGAGCTTTGATATCTAGTGGTAAGGAGTTGCACTGCCAACCTCAAGGCATGCGGTTCAAATCCACCAGCTCCTCCTCAGGAGAAAGATGGAGCATCTCCTCCCTAGCAATTTACAGCCTCTGAAATCCCATTGGAGGGTCAGCTATGAGTTGGTTCTGACTGGAAGGCACATAACCACATTCCCACTATACACAGCCTTACCTCAATTTCTCATGGCTTTAGTGTGCTCCCTGCATTCAGTGAGTCGATCAGCATCATCATCTCCATCAGCATGGGCTCACCTTCTGGCCCTGTGGCATATTTGGTAATTCTTGCCAAGTTTTTGTAACATTTTTATACACTTGATATACTACATTATCTGGTGGCCTAGTGGTGAGAAGCTGTAACTCCAAAGGCACGTGGTTTAAATCCATCAGCTGTTTGTTTGAAGGGAGAAGGATGAGCAATCACCTTCCATGTGATTTACTGTCTCTGAAAACTGCCTGAAGGGTCAGCTATGGATTATTTCCAACTCGATGGCACACAACAACAAATAGCTTTTACACACACTGGGAAAACAATTCATGCAACTCATTTTATTGCAATACTCACTCTATCACAGTTGTCTGGAACCAAGCTTGCATGTAGTCTAGGAAAAGGAGGCTCAGGGGAAGAGGGACACAAGCCAGCACCCAGGCTCTGGCAGTAGAGCTGGTGGTTGAGGCAGATCTGAGTCTGCGCATGCGCCTGTCCTGTGACTGCAGGAGGGACAGAGGCTTCTGCAGGACAGCCACTCCGCCTCAGACGTTATCCAGGTGCAGCTGCAGGAGCTGGGAGAGCTCTGGGACAAGCTACAGGGCAACTGCCAGAGGAAAACGGCCAAGCTTCAGGAGGCCTGCAAGGTGGGGTTGCACAAGCCAGTGGGGCAGGCTGGATGGGCAGCATGCCAGTCTTCAGCATGCTCACCCCATGTTCTGCCCCAGGTCCTGTGCATACAACGGAGTGTAGAGGAGCTAGAGAGCTGGCTGGAACCCATAGAGGCGGAGCTGCAAGACCCTGTGGGAGGGCAGGACCTCCCTGCGGTGAATGAGCTCCTGAGGGCCCAGGGAGACCTGGAGGCAGCAGTGGACGAGCAGGCCCGGCAGGCAAGGGCCCTGCTGGACCAGATCCAGGCCTTCTCCCCGGAAAGGCACGCCCACAACACAGATGAGCAGGCCCGGCTGCTGCTCCTTAGGTGGGTCCACCTGGGCCCCATCCAGGAGCACCTCCTCCCCCTCGCCTTCCTGAAGGGGTGCCCAGCCCTGCCCACAGCTCTCTGTATGTCGTGACATTTCTATCAAGCATAAAGGGCACAGAATTGGGGAGTCGTGTCACTGTAATACCCACAACCATGGTCCCCCTCCTCTCTGGACCCCACCCTCTGTTGCCACTGCCACAGGTTCCAGTTGTTGTTAGGAGCCATCGTGACCCTATAAACAGTCGATCTGAACCCTGTCCTATCCTGTGTCTCCCTCACAACCACTGACATATTTGAGCTCATTGCAGTGGTCACTGTGTCAATCCATCCGGTTGAGGGTCTTCCTCTCTTCCACCATCCCTCCACCTTTCCAAACATGATGTCCCTCTCCCAGGTTCGAGAGTCTGAGGGAACCCCTGCAGGAGCGCAGGGCAGCCCTGGAAGCCCGGAACCTCCTCTACCAGTTCTTCAGGGACGTGGACGAGGAGCTGGACTGGGTGCAGGAGAAGCTGCCCCTGGCTGTGGCCCAGGACTGCGGCCAGAGCCTGAGCGCCGTGCGCCACCTGCAGGAGAAGCACCAGGTGCCCGCCCGCCCCTGGGGTAGAGGAGGAGGATGACGCCCAGGTGGGGCGAGGCTTCTGCCCAGAAGACGACGCCTGTGGCTCAGCTAGGAGCTCTCCTTGTCACAGGCTTGCAGGGGGGAGGGGTAATCCTGATCAGGCGGACAGTAGACTCTCTAGGAAAAGGTCAGTGGGGTCCCATGAGGCTTCAGGCACAACTGTAAGGAATCTTCGGAGGACTCTGCCTGCCCACAGAACTTCCTTTTCCCCACAGAACTTAGAGCATGAGATACGCAGCCACGAGACCCTGACCCAGGTGGTGGTGGGCACCGGGCACAAGCTGGTGCAGGCGGGGCACTTCGCAGCGCCGGAGGTGGCCGCGCGGGTGCAGCGGCTAGAGGGCGCTGTGGGCCGCCTGCGGGCGGAGATGGAGCAGAGGAGGCGGCTGCTGCGCCAGGCGGAGGAGGTGCAGCAGATCCTGATGGAGGTGAGGGGACTTGGGGAGTGCTGGGCCCAAATGTAACCCCCACGTGGGGCTCCTGGCTCTCATGTATCTTCTGTCACCTGAACCAAATGGTCTCCTGCCTCCGGAAGCTCCTTTTGCAAGTTTCTCAAAGACAAGACTGTTGGGTTATTTAATTTCCTTCTGTCCTCTAAGAGGGACATCTGGTAGCCTAATGAGTAAGAAGTTCCCACTGTCAACTAAAGGCAGGAAGTTCAAATCCATTAGCCACTCAGCGGCAGAAAGATGGTCAGTCTCCTCTTCTGCAATTTAAAGCCTCTAAAAACTCGCTGGAGTGTCAGCTATGAGTCAATTCTGACTTGATGGCACACAATAACACGTCTTCTAAAGCAGTGGTTTTCAGCTAGTGTTTCACATTTAGAATCATCTGGAATCTTTTTTTAACATGTAGGATGAGCCATTTATTCCATGGCTTAATGTTGCATAGTATTTGCTCTGTTTCTTTTTATTGTGATTTGAGAATAAATGAGTTTTGCATCAACCAGGCATACACATTTTGCTTAATGACATTAGATACAAGGCCCACCATGTCCCTTTACTCCTCTTTCCATTCATCCTCCTACCCTACCCCTTCCTGCCTTCTCAGATTTATGCTGCTCTTTGGATCCTGTACAGTTGATTTTGCAAAGGAGTCAGTCAGCACCTCTCAGTGTTACGGTTCCATCTTGCTGTTGTTAGGTACCATCAATTCACCAGTGACTCATAGCAACCCTATGTACAACAGCCTGAAGCCTGCCCTGTTCTGAGCCGGTCTCACTGACTCAGACACACCAAGCCCCACTGCCCCAGTTACTCCCACTGGACCAATTGGCAGGACCATGAAATATGTTTCAGAGATTGAGGTCGTTAACAATTATAGCTTGCTTGGCTCCACAGTCAACACTCTTAGCACCATCAGTCAGGAAATCAAAAGAGGAATTGCACTGGAAAAATCAGCTGTCAGGGACCTCTCCAGAGTACTGAGAAGCAATGATGTCAGTCTAGAGACTAAGGTGCGCCTCCAGCCCATGGTCTTCATAATTACTTGCTATGCATTAGAAAACTGGACAATGACTAAGGATGACAGAAGAATAGATGCCTTTGAATTGTGGTTCTGGAGAAGAGTCTTGAACAGACCATGGACTGCCAAGAAAACAAATAGGTCTGTCTCAGAGAGGATGAAACCAAGTTTATTCTTGGAGGCTAGGATTTTTAAGCTCCATCTCTCTTACTTTGGGCACGTGGCCAGGAGGGACTGGTCCTTGGAGAAGGACATCATGCTTGGAAGGGTGGAGGGACAGAGCAGGAGAGGAAGATCCCGCATGAGATGGATTGATACTGTTCATCTTAGAGGCATGTACATTGTCTGGTGAAAAGTTAAACCACAAGGATGAGTTTTGTCACCTAGATCCTTTAAAAGGTACATTCCATTCTAAATCTTTAGGCGAGGGAACCAGGAAGAAGCACTTTTAAATGTTCTCCATGAGAGCAGCTAAAATTAAAAAACTATGACTCATACTAAAATGCTATTGAAGAGTTGGGGAAGCTGGCTCTAGTAGTCTATTGGGAATATTAAATGATAAACCACTCTATGAAATAATGTGGTGGTTTATTTTAAAATTGGTATATAATTTATGTAAAACTCAGCAGTCACACTCCTGAGCATTTGTTTATTCTAGAGAAATGAAAATGAGGTTCACACAAGTATTTGTCTATAATTGTTCATAGCCACTTACTGTGTAATTGTCAAAATCTGGAAACAACTAAATGGTCTTCAACAGGTGAATGATTAAACAAATTATAGTTCAAAATCAGGAAGGGATCATGTCTCCATAACTTTTCAGTCTATATGCAGAACAAATCATTCAGGATGTTGGACTTTATGAGGAGAAATATGGCTTCAGGATTGGAGGAAGATTCATCAACAATCTACGTTAAGCAGATGATACAAACTTGCTTGCTGAAACTAAGGAAGTGCCTGCTGCAGGTCAAGGACTGTAGTCTTCAACATGGTTTGAAGCTCAACATCAAGAAGACAATGATTCTTACCACTGGTCCAATTGGCAGCACCATGATGGATGGAGAAGAGATTGAGGTTGTTAACAAGTATAGCTTGCTCAGCTCCACAATCAACACTCTTGGCACCAGCAGTCAGAAAATCAAAAGAGGAATTGCATTAGGTAAATCTGCTGTCGGGGACCTCTCCAGTGTACTGAGAAGCAACAATGTCAGTCTAGAGACTAAGATGCTCCTAATCCAGGTCTTCGCAGTTACTTGCTATGCATCAGAGAGCTGGACCATGATTAAGAATGATAGAAGAATTGATGACTTTGAGTTGTGGTGCTGGAGAAGTCTTGAACATACCATGGACCACCAAGAAAACAAATAGATGTATCTTGGAGAGGGTAAAACCAAGTTTCTCTTTGGAAGCCAGGGTTTTGAAGTTCTGTCTCACATACTTTGGGCATGGGGCCTGGAGGGACCGATCCTTGGAGAAAGATATCATGCTCAGAAGGGTGGAGCGACAGTGTAGGAGAGGAAGACCCCAGATGAGATGGATTGATACAGTAACTAGGGCAAAGCATGTAGGTGTGTTGGAGTCAGTGAGATTAGCTCAGGACAGGACAGGCTTCAGAGCTGTTGTACATATGGTCATTGAGTCACAAGCGACTCAATGGCACACAACAACATTTATGTACACCATGGAGTACAACACAATAAAGAAAAAGGTGAACTTGCATAACAACAACTTGGATGGATCTTAAGGGCATATGCCAAGTAAGGGGCAGGAGGAGGTGGAATCCCAATCTTGAAAGATTCTATTTATATGTTGTTGTTTTTGTTGTTGGGTGCTATTGAGTTGATTACAACCTATAACAACCCTATGAACAGCAGGTCTGAACTTAGCCCTAGTCTTCTCATCTTCACCATCTCTGATGTGTTTGAGCCCACTGTTACAGTCACTATGTCAGTCCATCTTTCAAAGGGTCTTCCTCCCTTTCTCTGACCCTTCACCTTCCCAGCATTATGTCCAAAGTATGTGGGACGGAGATTCATCATCCTTGCCTCTGAGGAGCACACTGGTTGAATTTCCTCTGAAACAGATTTGTTTATTCTTTTGACAGTTTGTGGGATAGTCAGTAGTCTTCTCCAACACAACTCCAAGACATCAAAAATTATAGGCTGGAAAATAAATTAGGAGTTGCCAGAATTTAAGGATGGTTATAGAAGATGCCACAGGGAGCTCTCTGGGGTGATAGAATAGTTCTGTATCTGGATTGCAGAAGTGGCTACACAAACCCACAGGTGATAAATTGACATAGACCCTACACACACCAGGTACCCGTGTCTGTTTCCTGGGGTCACCCACATCTCCCATGTCACCACAGCTCTTGGAAGCAGAATCCTGGTTGGCTGAGCGGGCCTCTATCCTGGACAGCAAGGACATGGGCCAGAGTGCCGAGGCCACCCAGGCCCTCCTGAGACGGCTGGAGGCCACCAAGAGAGACCTGGAGGGGTTCAGCATTAACATCAAGAGGCTGCAGGAGATGGCCTTGCTTCTGGAAAGCACACAGAACCCAGACAGGTAGGGAGCTGCACCCAGGGGGTATGGCTGGAAGAGGGGCACTGCAGAGGCAGCTCATGGCTGCGTCCCACACAGGCAGAAAGGGACTACAGTCCAGGCTGTGTCTTCTTGCTGCAGCTCCAAGGTGCTGGGCCAGCTATCGTCAGTGAGGGACACTCACACGGGGCTACTGCAGGCTGCAGAGAGCCGGGGTCAGCTCCTGCAGGAGCAGCTGCAGATGCACCAGCTGGAGCAAGAGGCCCTGATCCTCACCACCTGGCTGGCCAGCAAGGTGGCCACTGCTGAGTCTGAGGACTATGGGCAGGACCTAAAGGACGTCGAGGTGAGTCACCCCCAAGCAAACCTGGAGGAGAGTGGATTGAAACTTGCTAGCTGAAGCAAGGAAGATCTGCAGTTCAGGGTGGATAGGAAGCTGGAGTGGGCAAAGATGGAACAGTGGGGGGACCTCCAGGCCCTGAAAGGCCCCCTGAGTTCTCAAACCAGGGATGAGGAACGTGGGAGGAATCAGATCCTGCTCATCCCCTCATGAGTTTCCAGAAATGCTGAGACATACTCCAGAGTGACCCTCTCTGGCCCCCCATTCTCACAGGTGCTGGAAGAGAAGTTTAATGCTTTCAGAAAGGATGTCCAGAGCCTGGGGCAGGCCAAGGTCCAGGCTTTGAGGGAGCTGGCGGGCGCCCTGGAACGGGGGACACCCAGATGCTATCCTCAGATCCAAGCCCACATGAGCAGAATCGAGGCCACTTGGGAGAGGCTGGACAGGGCAATGAAAACCCGCACGGAGGTAGGTGCCCACAGGCCAGACCAGGAGAAGCCAAGGGAGAAAGGGCAAGCAGACACTGCACAGATGTGTGGGCACATGAGGGCGTCCTTGCTCACATCTGTTAATGCACATAATGTGTGTCAAGGGCTGGCTCTCTCTAACTAACACTCAGCGCCAATCAGATTGGAAGCCCCAAAGTCTTCCAGTCTCTCCTACCCATCTCTGTCAATTTGGTTTCCTCCCAGCACAGGTCACACCTCAAAGAAGAACCAAGCAGTGTGTCTGATTAGCTTTTAAAGTCCTCTAAATGCTCCCTGAGCACAAGCTTTGGTTTCACTAAGACACACAACTGCTCAGTCTCTTCCTGTTAACCTCACAGGTGTTAACGTGCTGTTGGAGCGTCTGCATCTCTCACGCACCCCTCTCCTAATCTACATACACTCAGGGGATTTCTATATCAAGTAAATCTACTGTTTTCTTCTGTGATCTTAGCTCTTAACCACAGCTGCTTGTTTCTATAACAGAAGCTCAGCTCATTGAGAGAGCTCTGGTGGCTTAGTGGTAAGGAGTTGAGCTGCCAACCTAAAGTCATGCAGTTCAAATCCACCAGCTATTTCACTAGGGAAAGATGGGCAGTCTCTATCCTTACAATTAAACTGAGTCTGTAAACCCACTGAAAGGTTCCGACTCAACGGTACATAACAACAACAGCAACAGTTCATTGAGCTCCTGATTGATTCCAAAGCCTGGAATACACTGACTCCAGAGATTCTGGGCACAGTGGCCTCTAGGTTGACCTGGCCCTCTCGCTCACCCTGTCGAAAGAGCCTAGACACAGCCCCCCATCCCTAAAAGCAGCCCGCTCCCAACAGTCGGCCCATCCTCACATGTCCCGTGGGTCCCACCTCTTTGCCTCCCTCACAGGAGGTACATGAAGACCCTCTTCTCACTGATGGCCCTGTGGCCCACCACTCCATCAATAATACCACACATTTATGGAGTTACCATATCTAGGGCATTTTCTGTACAAAACAAACCAAACTCACTATCTTGGAGTCATCTCCAACCCATTGTGGTCCTAACCTTGTAGGGCAGAGTAGAACTGCCCATAGGGTTTCAAAGCTGTAGATCCTGGTAGAAGGAGGCAGCTTCATAACTCTCCTACAGCACTGTTGGTGGATTTGAGCCGTTGAACTTCTAGTTAGCAGCTGGACATCTTAACCACAGCACCCACTGAACTCCTTTCTTTTTTGTATGAAGGGGTCATAAATGGGTCACCAAGTCCACACCCTCCTTGTTTTAATGGGGGAGGGGGGATTTGAGGTGGAGGGCAGAGGGGACATGTTCCCAGGGAGAAAGGTGCCCCTGGAGGGCACAGCACACGAGCAGGCCCGCCCTCCTTCCCCAGAGCCTGGCTGCAGCCCGCGCAATCCGGAGCTTCCACAAGGCAGCGGGGGAGCTCCAGGGCTGGATGCAGGAGAAGGTCGCCATGATGGAGGGAGCTGGTGACGGCCACAACCTGCCCTCTGTGCAGGCCCTGCAGCACCAGCACAGACTCCTCGAGGTGAGGAACCCCGTGTGAGGCCCTCCCCAGGGGTGTGGTATAGGCCAGCCCCCACCACTGCAGTAAGTGCAGGCCCACTCGCCCCCAAGGCTGCCTGCACCTCCCCTCAAGAAACCGAGATCCCGCAGGGCACCCTGGCTTAGCCAAGGCTGAGGGTCCATGAAGCAGAGCAGGAGCAGCGCCTCCCAGTGGGGAGAATGAGCCTGCTCTCGTGTTGTGACTGCAGAGGGAACTGGCAGCTGTGGAGAAGGAGGCAGCCCGGGTGAGGATGGAGGCAGAGCAACTGAGCCAGCTACACCCTGCAGCCCAGAAGCGCCTGGAAGAGCAGCTGGCTGGCGTGCAGGAGGCCTGGGCCACGCTGGACTCGAAAGCCCAGCAGCGGGGCCGGCAGCTGGAGTGGGCTGCTCAGGGCCACGCCTTCCTCAGGCGCTGCGGGGAACTGCTGTAGGTGTTGGGGTTCTGGGCTCCACCTGTCCTGCAGGATGGGGGTCCACCCACTCTTCAGGGCTGGGCTCCCCTTCTTCTGCTCAGCTTGTTCCCAGCCCTTGCCTCCCCAGCCCTGTCCTGCCCTCCCAGTGCTGAGGCATGTCTACTCCCACCCACAGCACATGGGCTCAGGAAAGGCAGGCGCTGTTGTCCTCAGAGAGGCTGTCGGATGCTGAGCAGCTCATCAGACAGCAGGAAGAGCTGAGGCAGGAGATCATGGAGCTCTGCCTTCAAGCCCAGGATGTGCGGCAGGAAGGACAGCAGCTCCTGAACAACAGCCACTTCATGGCCCCAGAGGTGTGAGCACAGAGCATGGGCTGAGGGGTGAGCTGGGACACAGGCTTCTTAATAGACTCCAGTCTCCCTGACCCCAAGTGGCTCTGAGTATGTCACCTGCAGCATCAGTGCCTTGGCTTCACTCCATTCACCCAGCTGAAGAATCAGTCCACTTAGGAGAGACTGGAGCGGATGGTGCTCAAGTACTGAAGGCAGGCTACAGTCATTTCAGTGGCCTGTGAGCAAGCCAATTTTAGTGTAAAGTTTAGAAAGGCTATTGCTGGTCTTGCTCAAAAATGTCAGTGTAGGCCTAGGCCTTCTGGAGTGCTAGGCCAAGAGGCTAGGTGAGGAGACAGAAGTGGCGGTGAAAAGCAAAGACAGATTTATTAGGAAAGATACATCCCAAAGGAAGGGACGAGTTGTCTCACAAGGAAAGGAAGTAATGCAGGAGGCACTGTGCCACTGAGCTGAGGTCATATATAAGACTTCTTCATCTGGGCATACCTGGGGCTGGAGTCTGAGCCAATGAGTTATTATCTTGGAGAGTTCAAAGTTTGGTAGACTGTCCTTATTCCAGTCCATTATCCTGGACATCACTCATGCATGAGCTTCCACCTCCCTTATCTGGTTGGCATTTGCCCCAACATTCTCTCGACCCAGTTTTGCCTCATTCACCTAACTCTGACCCTAACTCCACCTCTGCCTCCATCCCACCTGGCCCAGATCACAGAGTGTCTGCAAGAGCTGGACAGGCAGCTGCAGGAGCTCCAGGAGGCCTGGGCCCTGAACCGGGAGCACTGCCAGGAGTACCAGGGCCTGCAACAGCTTCAGCAGACACTGGACCAGGCTGAGGCCTGGCTGGACTCCCAAGAGGACCTCCTGCTGGACCCCAACTGTGGAGTGAGTGGAGGCCACAGTCTCTGGAGGCTACTGTGGTGGGCAGATGTGCTGCTCTCCTGGCTCACTGGTCACCAAGGCCCGGTCACAAGGGGTAAAGGGAAGGTCCTGCCAAGCACAAGGCCCCACCCTGGTTTACTTCCTCCCAGAATTCAGTGTCGGATGTGGAGTTGCTGCTCCGCAAGCACCAGGACTTAGAACAGCGGCTAGCAGCCCAGGAGGCCAAGCTTGTCCCGCTGCAGAGGGGAACCAAGGTGAGGAGAAGGTGGGGTAAGGATGCAGAGAGAAGGGGGCGAAGGCAAGTGGGGTGGGAATACCCCCTGGTCCAGCCTGAGGTGGTGTGGGCCAGAGCATTGAGCCCACACCCCTGACTCCCTCAGAAGGTCCCCTCAGGAAAACTCTATCCCTTTCTAGTCTCGTCATCCAGTGATCAGGGAAGGACAGGGCACCACGGTGGACTGGGAGTAAAGAGAGGTTTTTTAAGCAAAAACCAGAGATTAGGAACAATGAGCACATAGGAGCTCTCTGGAAATAGAATCGAGATATATATATATATATATATATATATTTACATTTTATTTTATTTTATTATTTTTGTCTGTGTACTGTCAAATCGGATCTGACAGGTACAGGAGGAGATTGCCCCTCCTTCTCCAGCAGAGCATCTGGTGGATTTGAACCTTGTACCTCTGGGATTGCAGTGCAGCTTCTTGCCACTAGTCCACCAGAGCTTCCTTCAGAATCGACATATTTTTTAAACTTTATGAGATAAAATTCATAATAAATGTACAGTTTTCATCACTTTGAAGACTACACGTCAGTGCTTCTTAGTAAATTCAGTCTTTTTTCTTAAATTCACAGTTTTATATAACCATCAGCTTTGCAATTTCAGAACATTCATGTTGTTGTTGTTATTGCTGCTGAAAGAAACTCACAGCTACTAAGCAGTCATGAGCGTGGGATTTTGAGGAGAGAGGCTGGATGTAGGGCCTGCAGTCTGACCTGGCTCAGCTCCCTCCCTAGGGAGGAAAGAAGCTGTTGGTCAAGTGAAAACCATAGATTTAAAACATGGGGACGCTGGCCCAGGGCAGCCTACTGACTAACCTCAAACAGAGGCTAAGATGAGGGACCTACACCCAGCTGTCGCCAGCAGGTCACACACACCGTCTTCACCACCACCTCTTCCCACGGGGCAATGGGCCAGGCAGAAGGGGCCCAGCAGGACTAGGGTTGGAAGGGCTGAGGCTCCCCACTCTTGAGCCAGATCCTGATGATAGAAGCATTGGGCATAGGAAACAGGGTGGGGGTACCTGAGCAAACTTGCAGAGGGAACCTCCCTTCTGTGCTGATCTAGCCATAATCTCCCTGGGCCCCTCTTATATTTCAGGAGGCAAAGGGTGCCCCTGCCATAAAGGGTGTACCGGAGCCGCTCCTGCCTGGAAGAAGGCAGGTAAGTGCTGGGATGTCTGTTATCTGGGAAGCTCCCTCTGTACAACCTTCTGAAGGCCCAGGGTAGAGGGCATCTGGGCTTGGCCCCCTGGTAGTGTGGACTCTGTGGACACCCCTACCACCACCACTCAGTGGGCAGTTTGGGTTCTTGAGGCCACATCAGTTTCTTCTCCCACCTCCTGCCCTTCTTCCTCTTCTTGGTTTTCCTATGAGAATCACTCCCTGAATGAGTGAAGGGACCTTACTGAAGCCCTCAGTTGCTAACCGAAAGACTGGCGGTTTGAACCCACCCGTGATGTGCTCTTAAGGATTACAGCCTAGAAAGCCCTATAGTTTCCTAGGATAGCAGAACTGCTCTGTCACATTGAGTTCCTTGGGTCATACTGTGTTACTAGGCATGAGAATCCATCAACAACTGGTTGGCTGCAGATAATTCTTTGAGGATAAAAGTGGGAGTGACAACATCTATAGAAGAATCAAGGGTGAACAAAGGTTTACAATCCCTGCACAGGCTGAGAAAGGAACTGGTAGAAAAGGAGAGTAGATGACAGGAATGACGTGGGAAGAGAAGGATCCCTGTGGATCTAAATGTTGGAGCCAAGGTTGAGTCATGACCAGAGGGGCATCTCTTCCTGTGAGGCAGGAAGCGAGGATAGACTAAGCATTGTAGACACAATAAGTTTGGAATGGGTACTGCTTTCAAATTTATGCAAATGTGGATGATCTTAACTATGTTGTAAAAAATATTTGCTTCCTTTAAAAAGTCATCTCTTGCAACTCTTGGTCCATTCCTATCTGGAGTAAAGAAGAATGAAGAAAAACCAAGACTCAAGAAAACAACGTATCCAAAGGAGTAAGAGAGTCTGCAAACCAGGGTGAAACAAGAACTCGATGGTGCCCAGCTTCCACTACCGCCCACTCTGCCTGGGATCACACTAGAGGGTCCTGGCTAGAGTAAGGGGGGAAACAGACCAAAATTTAAAATAATAGAGAAGCCTAGACTTACCGATGTGATAGAGACTGGTGGGGTTCCCCAAGACTATGGCCCTTAGACACCCTTCAAACCTGGAACTTAAACCCACCCTCCAGGATTACCTTTCAGTCAAATAAAAGACAAGCCTCCAAAGTGAACAAATAACACTTGTGAAGAATGTGAACCACATAAGAATAAACAATTGAGACCAAAGAGGCAGCATTTGCCCAAAAGTAAAGCTCAGAAGGCAGGAAGGGGCAAGGAAAGGACAAACGGAACTAAGAACCCAGGGACTACCTACAAAGGATGCTGGTGCACGTCACAAAACAAATGCACATCCTATTTTTGAATGGGAAACTCATTTTTCTCTGTAAACTTTTACTGATATAACAATAAAACATTCCAAAAAATGTTCTCTACGGTTGCTGTTGTTATGTGCCATCTAGTCGCTTGCGACTCATAGCAACCCTACGTACAACATCCCTAAACTGTCCTATATCCTGTGCCAATAGCACCGTCTCCGATACACCCATCCCGATTACTCCACTCAATCAATCCACCTCATAGAGGGCCTTCCCCTTCTGCACTGTCCCTCCACCCTACCAAGCATGATGTCCCTCTCCAAGGACCTGTCCCTCCTTGCAACATGTCCAAAGTATGTTCTCTACAGTTGTTGTTGTTCTGTGCCGTCGAGTCGCTTGCGACTCATAGCGACCCTATGTACAACAGCCCTAAACTCTGCTCTGTCCTGTGCCAATCGCACTGTCTCTGACACTCCCATCCCAATTACCCCAGTCACTGAATCAATCCACCTCATAGAGGGCCTTCCCCTCCTGCGCTGTCCCTCCACCCTACCAAGCATGATGTCCTTCTCCAAGGACAGTACACATTTTAAATATTAGTAAAACCTAAGGTCTCTGGTTATGAGGAAAATGAGCCTTCTTCTGTTTATAGAGCTCTGGTGGTTTAGTGGTAAAGAACTGCACTGCCAATGCAAAGGTACATTGTTCAAATCTACCAGCTGCTCAGCAGGAGAAAGATGGGCAGTCTACTCCCATGCAACTTTCTGCCTCTGGGATGATCAGCTATGGGTCAGTTCCTACTTGATGGCGCAGAACAGTGTAACACCACAAGGTCAGAGACATTATTATTTAGACATGGACCAAAACTATCTTATCTCCTATAAAGTTTTTCTAACATAGTGAAAGGGAATATAGACTTTGTGCCTTTGAAGAAATCAGTCCACTCCCCTGATCCTCTTATGTCCAGTCATTCCTCGTGAGCCTCTGAGATGCAGGAAGCTTTGCCCAGAACCCGGCTGTGGTTTCCTCCCTCTGCACAACCCAGCTGGCTTTCCCAGGAGGGACTGAGGGTGGCTGGGCCCTGGGAGGGCTGCTGTGGATCTTGTGGTGGAGGCACTGTGGTGGAGGCACCCATGGAGGACAGTAGAGGCAGCACAGACAAGATTGGGGGGCCTCAGGGTAGGGGAGACTGAGGTGAGACTCAGCCCTGCCTCTGCCTCAGGAGGTTACTTCACTGGCCACCCTTGACCCCAATGTGAGGGTCACATGGGACCAAGGGACCCTGGCTCTATGGACACATGACTTGGGCAAGCTCAGCTCCCAAGAGCAGCTGTAGCCAAGAGGTTTGGAGGTGGGGTCCTAGAGGAGGCAGAAGGCTGACCCCTCACTGTCTGTGGTGCTGAGCTGGACAGCTGGGCAGAGAACCTCGTTTGAGTGCCACCAGGACTAGAGCCAAGTTTTCATGCATTTGTGGAAAGTTTCACATCCAGTGTCTCTACCCCAAGTGGAAGGTGACCTTTACACTTTTTAGTCAAAGCAGCTAAGGGTCAGAGTTATACTCCTTGCCCAAGACCACACAACGGAGCAGCAGCAGAGCTGTCAGTCCCCCTCTGTTGTGTCTGCTCCCAACACTCCCTGGAACCCTTGTCCCAGACTGTTCCTTTCAGGCCTCTCCCTGGCTCTGCTTCTGCTGACCTGGACCCCAGACGTGTGGTACGTCTGCTCTGCTGGACCTGGGGAGGGGTGGGGCTCTCCAACCCGAGGAGGCTTCAACATCAGGGAAAAGACATAGCAACCTTTTGCACATCCTGTCCTAGCCATGGCCTGACAAGTCTCTAGGTGAAGGGAGTGTGTTCTTTTCCACCCCTCTTGGCCTCCCTGTCCTGGCTCCAATCACTGTCCCTGTCGTCCCAGAACAGTCTCTCAGCATTGCTGAATCTCCTACCTCCACGAGGCAGGGATGGGTTGGGGGCAGACAGGACGCTGACTTAGCTGGCCAGCCTTGCAGGAGGCAGGGATGCACTGGGGAAGTCCTCCCAGCTGCCTGCTTAGCTTGATCCACAGAAGTCCCCAAAGCCTCACCGAGCTCCAGAGCCAGGCTGCCTGGGGCCACACCAGGCCCAGACTGCTCCAGCCCTGTGGTGGGCAAAGCCCAGAACTCAAACCAGGCCTCTTGGCCTCCCAGGAGAGCTTTGCTGAGAGGGTGCCCAGCACAGCCTTTCAGCTCAGGTAAGGTAACTGCAGGGGGGAGGACTGTACAAATGTTGTTTCATTCGACACCCTCCAACCCTCCTGGGGTGGAAAGCCTTTACACCCATCCCAATCCTGGGTACCACCCCCAGACCACTTTCAGCTGGAACAGCTGGCTCTGGGCCATAAGGCTCCCTTCTCTCAGATTTGACTGCTGTCTCACGTGAAAGGGACCCACACAGCCCATCTAGTGGCACAGACAACTGACCCTGAGCAAAATGAACATGGCTCCTCGCAAGGGACTTGGCTTCCCTCAGCATGTTCTCAAGAAGCTTGCTCACATGGCCTACCCGGCCTCACCCTCCAGTGCCTTCTCTTCACCCCTTTTCAAGAGCACTTTTTTGAGGAGTAGCCACCTACTGCCTTGTTTGTACCCCTACTGTTGTTGTTGACCATTGAGTTGGAACCGACTCATAGGTGACCCCCCGGCTGGTTTTCAGAGGAGACTGCCCATCTTTGCCCCACGAAGTAGCCGGTGGCCTCAAACTGCGTGCCTTTGGGATTGCAGCACAGCTTCTTGCCACTAGGCCACCAGAGCTCCATACTCACTATTGTTGTCTACTCCTATTTTGCCTACCCGAAGACCCTTCCAAGGGGAAAAGGGAACCTATCAGAGAAGCCAGGAGTTGGTGTCCACAGGTGATGATGTTCACAGATTTAAAGGATGAGAAAATGTGACATTTGGAAGTTTGGGTTAAAGTAGAACAAATGGTTCCTGTATGTGTCCTTTTATCTTTCCTTAGAAATCCTGAAACTGGCTGAGTGCTCAACTTCATTGCTATACTTTCCCATCAGTGGGCATCAGGGTTTTCTGGGCAAGGGATATTAGGGGTTGGATGAAAATAGAAGAATAATGTTAAGTGAAGGCTTCATAGGACCCCACAGGCCAGTGATGAGCCACGATCACTTACTTTATCAATCTCTCTCCCTCTCACCAGAGGAAGTAGCCATGTTCATGGTCTCTGGTGAAATGATTCACACTCACACACATTCCCACAGTCCCCATTTTATGACTCAGGAGGGTGATGGTGAATGAGTCCTTGGACTAGCGGTTTCTGAGGCTACTGGACAGCCATTTCTTCTGCTCTGCACCCCATGCAAAGCCTAGGAGTTGCTTGGTCAGGAAGGACCCATGTAGAGTTGGCTCATGAGATCAGGGCAGTGCTCTCTCACCTTACACAAGTGTGTGCACCAAGGGTCCACAGAACACATCAATGCTAGAAGTTGGGCATTGCAAAGGAGGCCAGAGGGCTGGGCCACATGTGCCTGGAGAACTCTGGGGTGACTGGCCCCTAAAATCACTCTGCCTCCCAGTTCTTCTAACAGATGTGGGCTAAAAACCCCAAGATGGTACCAAATGGCAGGGCTACAAGTGAGGCCATCCTCCAAGGGGTCTGAACAAGACTCAGGCCCAGGCAGAGGACACCCTCCCCTGGCTACTCAGTCCCTGGCTCTGTGCAAAGCCAGGCCAGGCCTCCAGGCCCAGCTTATGAAATGTACAGAAACTCATTAAGGCACAGGCCTCCAGCATCACTGCCTGCTGGAAATATGTGGTCATGCTGATCCCAGGCCTGGACAACCCACCTGTGAGACAGGAAGCAACGCTCCGAGTCCCTGGCCTTACCCTAAGTCCTTGCCTGGCAAAGAGGACAGGCATGCTGACTGCCGCTCTGGGCAGGGATAAGGTTATGGCAGCAGAGACGCCCAGCCAAACTGGCCCCCCCAGATGATCACATCCTGCTTGGAAAGGGGAGCACCAGGTCAAGGGGGACTTGGATGTCATCCAGGGTCCCAGCTCTTCAGGGCCAGCCTATGCACACTGGCCCCTCTTGGTCCCCGAGGAGAGTTCCACTGGTTTTTCAAACCACGCTGCAATATAATCAGGAGGCTGTCCCTCTTGGCAGTAAAGACAGGCAATCTCAGAGATGTTTGTGTGAGCCACTGTAATGTGCACTTGAACTACTCAATGCAGCGTGGAAGGGGAAACACAAGGGACATGGGGCTCTGGACACTCCCCATGCACAGCTCTGGACATCCTCACTGTTCTGGACTTGGCCACCTTCTTCCAACTCCACCCAACTGACATGGAACTCCTGTACCCCACATCTTCCCCGGCCTGACAGAGGCCTCTCCGGTCCACTCCAGCAAGACCAGGGTGCAGCTCCCCTGTAGCAGCAGCTGGAAGGTTGCTGGACCTCACTCCTGGCCACTAGTAGGGAGAGGCCTGGCACCTGCCAGGGACCTGGTTCTCAGAAGAGACTCTGACAGGCTGCTGGCAGCTACATTCCAACGTTACATACGAGGTATCCTGGGCATACACCTCAGTAGAGCCCCAGAGAGTAGGAGCCACAACAGGACCATCCAAGACCCCAGAGGCAGTGGGCACTTGAGGAAGGGTCCTGCTCCACCTCTAACGGAACCGCCAAGTGGACCTGGGCTAAGCCTGAGACAGGGCTGGGTGGGCGGCTGGGCCACAGTCCCGGGCAGGGCTGCCCCACCTGCAGCCATCACTCGGGCCCCTGCCGCCTGTGCTGCCTCCTCCGCTGCACGGCCTCACGCAGGGCCCCCAGCAGCGGCTCCCGGTTGTTGCAGATGTTGTAGTGCGTCAAGCGGAGCAGCTTGTCCACGTCCTCCTGGCTGTAGGTCACTTTAGTGTAGTGGTATGGGGAGTCAGATGGAGACAGATTCACCTGCCCTGCTTCCTTCTCCTCAGACGTTCTCAGGACCCCTGTTGCAAAGAGAGTGCAGCCTGGGCTCAATGTGGAAGGACACAGTGTTAGAAGTGGGTTCTGGGGTCATCTGTGGAGAGGTGGGGGATGGGTTGACAGGGGCAGGGACCAGAACATCAAGGTGACTCACCAGGGGCCAAATGGTCTTTGAAAGAGTCATTGACCAGTGGGAAGTGCAGGATAACAGGGGCCTCGGGGTGGCTGGGGTCTGAGAACTCGTGGCATTCCCGAGGCTGATGTTGCTCCTCTGGGCTCAGTGAAATGGGTGGGAATGGGATCCCCTGCTCCTGGCAGAACCGGCCCATAAGCTGCAGCTGCTGCAAGGGGTACCAGAAAGACATTAGGGGACAGTGAAGGGGACACCTGTACCCTCTATGCCTGTCAGTGTGAACGTGGCAACTTGATAAAAGACACACAGGACTTAACATCTGACAGAGAAATCAAAGACTCTGGTGGACCCAGCAAAGTCAGGCCAGGCGTTGAAGGAAGGCTCGTAGCTGGGACAGTCCTGCAAGAGCTTGGCAGGGTCCTACTCAACCTGGCTCTTAATAATCACTGGGGTTTAAAAATAGGAGGTAAAAGCCTCTCAATCCATAAAGTAACTAAAAGCAGGCAATTCCAGAGGTCTATAACCCGCTGGGATGCAGATACAGCAAAGGGGACCCAAATATGAAATAGCTGCCTCCCCATTACCCCATATGGGAAAAGTTCCCCTGGTGGTGAATGAATAGAACTCAGTGCTCTCATCACATAGCATCACTATCACAGCTCCTAAGGGACACTTCAGGGAGCTGGCCATCCCCTTCCCAGCCTGCCCCAGCATCCCAGGACCATTTATCCAGAGCTCCTGCCACCCCATGTCCACCTGAAAGGCTCCATGAAGATTGTAGTCAAATGACAGGATGAGATCCACATCCCGGGTGGGCTGCAGGAGGGGTGGACAGCTGGTGTTGATAAAGTAGCCAACATCCAGCAGGCAGAGGTAGGGCTCCACTGGTGTCAGCTGGTTAGGGAATCCGTCCAGTTTAGTGGCTGGAAAAGTTGAGGATGTTAAGGTGGGAGAAGCAGCAACTGTCAATGATGCTGAGAGCACTGCACTTCTATGGCCAATGGCAACTGCTTGCTACTGCTGGTAACAGAGACTGTGCTCTGGCTCCTGCTACTTCTACCGAAGCAGTCCCTCTACTGACTGCAGCCCTGCAGGTGGACCTGACACTCCCAGCTTAAGGAGAGGGAGACAAAGTCCTAGGATCAAGAGCTCTGTCCCAAGTGTCCCATGCGATAAAGGTCAGGAGTTCTGGTGTCAGGTGATGAGGGAGTGAGGAGAGACCCAAAACCCTAGGATTTGAGAAGGATTGAGAGCCAGAACTGGGGGAGAGATGAAGATACCTTTCCAGGTGGAGAAATGAGGCTGCTGGAAATAGTCTTTGTGAAAATGGAGGCCCCGCAGGAAATTGTGGGTGGCCTGGGCAAGTGGGCGCCGAGTCAGGAGGTCAGTGAAGAATTCGGCTATCCTTCCAGTCGTGCTGGGTGGCTCTTCTATCTTCAGAATGGGGACCTGCTCTTTGTCTGCAGTCAGAAGAGGAGAGTGGGGTGTCCTTCAGTAAATGGTGACTACTGACCTTTATCCTAGCCTCTGTGTCTGTGACCCTAGAGGTGGAACAGCTGAGACCTCCAAGGCCTGGGAGCCCCACCAACTGACAAAACAGCTTCAACTGGTGGTCCCTTTGAATCCTGCCAAAGGAGATCAAACACATACCTATGGTAGCCTGATTCTGAGCCCAGCGGTCCCAGAACTGGCTGGGCTCTGAGGACCAGTATAAGCTGTCCTGGAGGTTGGCTGCATACAGGTTAGTCCAGATACCTGGGAGAAGACACAAGGGGAAGGCAGCCCCCTCCCTGTTACAACCTGACCATACCCACTGCCTCTCCCAGACCAAGGAAATGTCCATGGACCCATCCTCCCCTCACACTTCGGGTTCTCCAGCCTTCCAGATCCCCTCACCTTCCAGGAAGCAGATGCGAGACTCAGGGAGCTGCTTCATCAGCCGGCCCATGAAGAACTCAGAGCCGAAGAGCTCAGAGGGGATGAAGGCCCCATACTTGGGAAGGCCAACTTCATAAGGGGTGAACTCACACCACTCTGTGAGGGGACCACAGACCCTCAGTCTTAGGGCTAAACCAGAGGACCCTCCAGTACCAATAACCCATGTGGATTTCACTAGGCAGGCTGGTCAAGGGGCAGCTCAGGCTCTGAGCCTGCGGCATGAAGCCACAACCCCTCTTAAAGGTCCAACTGAGTCTATGTGAGGGTTAGAGTTGAGTCTCTCACTGTGGGACCTGGGCAATGTCAAAAGTGTGGAACACCACCTCCCATATATATATATATATACCTTCCTCTCTGCCAGCCACAGGAACACAAGTCCAGGCTTCGGAGTTACTCACCCTCAAATTCAAAGGTGGAAAGGCTCTGTGATTTGGTGTTGAGGGCACAGTAGATGGGCATAGGGTTCTGACCATGGCGCAGGGCCTCTCGCTGATCTGAGAGTTTGTGGTTACAGGGCTGAAGGGGAAAGGACACTTGAACTGAAACTCACGGTTTCCTAGAACACAGAGGCTTCCCCACTCCCTGCTCCCCACTTTCTGGCCTGACTCCTCCCTGTACGCGGTCCCCTGGTATACCCCGTCATGTATCAAGGCCTCATTGATGAGGGCCCACAGGTTGGTGAAGCATGTGGGGTGGCCCAGGCGGGCACGCTCGGCCAGCTCCTTCCGGTACCACTGCAGCTGGCTGGGGGCCAGCACACCTAGCTTGCTCTTGGTCACCTGGGTCTTCAGAAATTCAGTGGGCCCTGCCAGGTCTTTCTGGGACCATTCTGGATCCTTGTAGAGGTTGGTCAAGGTCCTAAGTAAAACCAGGGAAGGGTCTTTCACTCAAGGACTCCATCCAGAACTCATAACTGGACTTCCCATTCCAGGACCACAGCCCGGTGAGCACCTTCTAAGAAAGTCAGGGCCAAGGCCAAGGCCAAGACTCAGTGGAGACAAGTGAACCCCCAAGGGACTCCACACACATTTCTTCCCAGCTACATGGACCATCCTAGACCTTCAATCTGATCAGAGAGGCCAATCAGGCCTAAGAGAGCTTCACCACAGACACCTCCCAGTCCATCACCCCCAGGGTCCTCACCAGGTGGAGCCTGACGCCCCTGTGATGTATGAGATGCAATCCAGGAGGCCCAGCTCCCTCAGGCCAGCCAGCTGTCCATACAGGGAGGTCATTGCCCGGATCCCACCACCAGTGGCCATGACGGCTACGACAGGGACCTGGAAGAGCACAGCCAGGCACAGAGAGGCCTTAGGAACTTAGGGAGGGAGAAAGTCACACCAAAGGAGAATGCAGCAAGTCAAATGACCATTCAGCTATCCCCACTCAAGATCTTGTTAGGCCCTTGGACCAGGTCTGAGTCAGCACCACTTGTCTGAACAGGGCTGGCTTTCTCAGGTTTTGAGAACTCCAAGGACAAACTAGATAAGTCCAGGTCTTGTATCCTTACCCCCAACCCCTGAAGAGTATGGAAGTCATTTTCTTGAAGCCCCAGATCTACTTCAAAAGAGCTCCATAAAGCCACCCCTCTCCATTTTGCAAGGAGCAGCCCAGGTCAGCAGACAGTTCTCGTGCTAGAGGCCCACTGGTCTGTCAGGCAGCGCCCAGTCTTAAAACCAGCATCAAGCCGAGGGTGGAGAATCAGAAAGCAGGAATGCTTCTCCAGGGAGAGGAGCGTTAGGAGCGAGCCTCACACAACTGTCTGCACTTTAAAAGCCCTTGAAAACATAGAAGAGAAATAAAGCTTCGGTTCACACTTAAAAGTTCAGCTTTAGAATTCACATTTCAGTCAGCTGGGCTGTTGGAACAAACAAGCCTGGGCCCCCACCTCCAGCTCCAGCCCTTCCCTCAGACCTCATCCTCCTGCAGGTCTCCCTCCAGCTGCAGGACCTGCTGCAGGGCCCTGGCCACAACCTGCTTCCTCCTCCGCAGGAAAGCTTGCTCCTCAGAGCTGGGTCCGAAGCCCAGCTGCACAGCCAGCTCCCCAGGTCTGGGTGAGAAGAAGGGACCATAAGCACTCGATCTCGTCAGAGAAACAGCAGCTGGGTCTACCTCCCCTAGATCCCTTTTACATCTCTTGTCTCCCCTGTTCACCCAGCCCTCCCCTCATCCTTGCTTCTTGAGGCCCTGGATATGAACACATGTGGAATGTGAGGGAGGGAAAGTGAACCCAGACTCAGACCCCTACCCAGGAAAATGGCAAAGTCAACTTGCAGGCAGGGCATCATGATGACTGAGGAAGGCCTAGCCAGCACCTGGTCCACCCAACCTCTAAGCCTTAGCTTCTCTTTACCCTGCCAGGTCTAAAAATTACTATAAAGTGGGTGGAATAGACGGACCAAAGGTCTCTAAGTCTGGGATTCTCATTCTCCCAAACACATCGACAGAGTGGGCAACTCAACTTAGTTCAGGTGGGTTAGTTAAGGTCTATCCATACAACTTCTTCTCAAAAGGCTGCAATTTCCTCACTTTCTCTTGGACTCTGCCTTATCTGTGCCTCAAACCATGGTATTTTCTCAACTTCCCTTTTTCCAGGGAAACATTTTCAAGTGCTTCCCAAGTGCCAGGTCCAGTGAAAGCAGACACACCAAGGTGAAAAAGCTTATGAAAAGAACCATTATATTCTGAACCCTTGCCAAGACTGCACACTCCATCCTGTGAGCAAACCCTCAGGATGCCCCTCCCTGGCCATGCTCCCCAGCCCTGCCTCTACACTCCTCCCTGGCTGCTTGCCCACTTCCCTCGCCCTGTCTCTACCCCCACTTTCTGACTGTTTGCTCATCTCCCAGCCCCCTCCTTGATTGCCCACTCCCCACTTCAGCCTGCACTGACTGACGTCAGCCTCCCTGACTGCTAGCCCACCCCCCAGCCCAACTCTCACCCCCTTCCCTGACTGCTTGCCCACACCCTAGACCAGCCCTCAGTCCCCTTCCTGACTGCTTGCCCACCCCCTAGACCAGCCCTCAGTTCCCTCCCTGACTGCTTGCCCACCCCCTAGACCAGCCCTCAGTCCCCTCCCCACTAGCCCACCCCATAGACCAGACCTCGGTTCCCTCCCTGACTGCTTGCCCACTCCCAGCCCAGCCTCTCACCCTTTTTCTTTTTTCAGCTCCACCTTCATCAGAGGCTCCTGAAAACCAAGAATGATCCTTTCACGAAGGCTGGCCATCTCCATCCCAATTCCATTCCTCTCTCTAGCCCCAGCCACAGCTCCATGATATCTCCACGTTCCTCCCATGAGTTCCCAACCAGCTCTACCAGGAGAATCTTCTGAAAGCTTGCCAGTGAATGGCCCAAAATGGTGAGAGAAGAGGTCAGTCCTTCTTCCCTGGCCCTGGCTTGAGGGGCGGCCCCATCTCTTCATCCAGCTCCTCTCCTATGGGACCAATACCTGGGATGTGGGGAAGACGAGCCTCACCAGCTGGTCCGATGGCAGGACCCTCAGGGGTACCTTTAGCTGTTCTTGGGGGGCATTCTGCAGCGGCACAAAGGAAATAGACCTCAGAGTCTCTGCCCTCCCACGGCCAGCAAGGACCATACTGATCCACATGGGAGTGGCTAAGGAGTGTTAGTAAGAAGGATCATGAGACATTCACCCCACAATCTTCCCCAGGTGCTGGGCTCTTGGGGAGTGGTCAGATGGTGAGTAGGATGGGCTGGATAAGTCACCCAGGGAAGGCTTGTGAAAGTTATAGGGCTCCATCACAGAAGACAGAGGACATTACCTGCAGATGGATACTCAGCTCTTGCTCCCAGCAGGCTGGGAAGTGGAAGCTTAAGGAGCCACTGCCCACAGAGGCCTCCTGTTGACCCTCACAGGACCCAGGAACCTCAAGCTGAACTTTGCTCCTTGCCTCTGGAGACAGAAACCAAGGTGGAGAGGCTGGAAGTGGGATCCTTGATCGCAGAGGTGTCTTTCTCCCCTCTGATCCAGGCAGAGGCTGGGAGATGGTGCTTCCCACACAAGCCCTCTGGGAAGGACCACGGGGGACAGCCCCAGGGCAGATTCACTCTCAACCCCTACTCCTGTCTTTGGGAGATGAAAATGGACGTTGGAAGATTCCCTCCAGAGTGGGCAGCTTAGAAAGGGTGAAGACAATAGCCGAGGGCCTGGGCTGTCCACTGGGTTAGGGGACTCACCCTTCTGGTCCCCTGCCTCTTCCAGTCGCATGTGCAAGCAGGCAAGCTCCCGGGCCTGGGTCATGGAAATAGCCCTCAGATACTGACCTCCTCTGCTCAGGGCCTCTCCACCAGCATCCTGGCTCCTGTTCCTCGGCTCTTTGTCACCCCAGCCCCACTATTTTCTGAAACTGCATCCTACTGGGGAAGTAAAATCCCAGGGTCCTCCAGACTCAGTTCTACTCCTGATCTACATAGGCTTCAGGCCCAGGGGAGGGCAGCAGATGGCATAAGGAAACGACCCCCTGAGAACAGCACCCCTAGCACCATCCCAGACTCACCACCAGGATGCCATTGCTGAAGAGCTGCTCCACACAGCCTGTCCTGGAAAGAGCCCAGTGAGACTCCATGTGAGTGCAGACCCCCACCCCCAAAGAGGCAGTCCTCCCGACCACTGTGTCCCCAGAGAAGCGTGACAGTGCTGGGAGCACTGGGTTCAGTCCTTCCCAGAGGGAGCCCCTTCCATCCCAGAACTTCCTTCCCCATAGGCCGACTCACAGATGCTGCAGCCGAAATTCAACTTCTAGCAGTCCTTCGCCCTGGAGAGAGAGCACCAAGTTAATGTTAGAAGCAAGAGTGTGTTAGGTTTACATGAGTATGTATGTGCACATAGGTGGGTATGTGCACAAGGGTGAATGTGAGTGTATGTATGCATGTGTATGCCTACGTGTGTGTGTTCATGTGTGTGTATTTGAGTGTGAGTAGTTGAATGGGTGAGAAGCACGCACATATGCACGTGTACAAGTATGAGTGCAAATGAGGTATATGTATAGAAGTGAGAGGCAGATGTGTGTATTTCTGAGTAAGCTGTGTGTGTACAGATATGTGTGTGTAAAAGAGTGTGAATGTGTGTGTCTGAATATATATGAATGAGTCAAAGTGTTTATAAATTTGAGTTCAGACACCAGCTAGAAGTGCTGAGGCTTCAAAATAATAGAGGAGAAAGGCCCACTGTCCAGCTCCCGACTGCTCTAGCCACACTCTCTGGACTGCTCCAAAAGAGCTGACCCTTGGCTTTGGGGACAAAAAAGCAGCATTAGGAAAGAATCACTCCTCTGTGGGGAGATGCTCTTGGTTAACACAGCCTTGAGGAGGGCGGGAGAAGGAAGGGAAGCCTAGAGCACTTGGAGTCTGGCTGTCGCCTTTTTAAAAAAAAACTAAAACAAAACACAAATCAAAACAGTATCAAAGTTCTGAGATGAAGGACATTTGTGCACTCTCACCAGTCCTCATCGTAACAGCAGTCAAGAAATTGAAAGTGTTGCATTGGGAAAATCCACTGTCAAGGATCTCACTAAAGAACAAGGTTGTCAGTTTAAAGACTAAGCTGCAACTGATCCAAGCCATGGTCTTTCCAGTTACTTGATGTGAATCTGAAAGCTGTAATGAATAAATAAGGATGACAGAAGAAGAACCGATGCCTAAGTTGTGTTGAAGAAAAGTACTGAATATCCTATGGACTGCCAAGAGAACAGAGCGATCGGTCTTGGAGGAAGTGCAACCAGAGTGCTCCTCAGAGGCAAGGATGGTGAAACCTCACGTCATACTATGGGCATGCTGTCAGGAGGGGCTAGTCCTTAGAAAAATACATTATACTGGGAAAGGTGGAGGGCAGCTAAAGGGAGGAAGACCCTCAAGAAGAGATGGACTGACACAGTGACTGTAGGTGCAAGTATATCAGAGATGATGAGGCTGGCATGGTTCAGCGTTCAGTTTTCAGGGTTCAGGTCTGTTTTCACAGGCTCGCTCTAAGTCGAAGCAGCCTGGCTGGCACCTGACAGCAGCCCTTGGAGCACCTCCCTTTCCCAGTGAGGCTGAAAGCTCTGGAATGCCTGGGGCCCAGTGCCCTCAGCTGCCCTGAATTGGAGTCTTGCCTGAGGGCTCAGTGAGAAGTTCTGGCGTGAGAACTCCCCTGGCCGCAGAGTTCCCACATCGAACAGAACTGACAACACAGGATCATCCTTGGTCAGCAAGTCCTGGTCAAAGACTTTCAGTTCCACCACGTTCTGGAAAGGGGACAGAAGGAGAAGGCTGCAGGAAGGATGAGGGGGACAGGGGAGGGGGCAAGGTAGGAGCTGGCACGAGGGACTGGGAGGGGACAGTGAGGGGGCCAGCTCAAAGCAGGCCCACCTTGAGTAGGCTGTGGATCCGGAAGTGGAAGCTCTGATTCCAGATGGGGTTCCTGCAGTTCTTGACTGTGCGTGTCTGTAGCCTCTGGCTGGAGGCAGTGGGCAGCCACACAGTCACGTAGCAGTCAGAGGGAGTCACTGTGGGGAGGAGGGACCTCTCCAATGATGGTCTAGAGACCCTCCCAACCCCAGGGTCCTAGGGCCCACCCTCACAGACGCCCAGGGGGCTGTGTATGGAGGGAGGGTGAGGCAGGAACAGAACAAAGCCCAATCCTCACCTTCCCCCAGTCCCTCTCCTCACCACCTCTCCCACTGTCCCTACCCCTGCCCCGACTCTGAATCCAGCTGTGGCACTGTTCTCAGCCCAGGCTCACCTAGGTCCCTGGAGGGCAGGCTATGGGCCTGCAGAACACGAACGGTGAGCAAGCAGGTCCCAGGCACCTTGGCCTGCAGAGGAGGAGGGCAAAAACTTGCGGCAGGCTTGATGAGGCCCAAGGTGATGGGGGACTAATGGGCTATAAGAACAACTCTGAGGTGTACTCCTGCACCAAAAGGACTAGCTATGGCCCTGCTCTCTGTCCCACCAGAATCCTGAATCTACAAGTATGGCACTTCCACAATGATTTATATAACACTCCTTGCCAGGTTCTGTTCCAAGGACTTTACATACATTAAACATTTTAACAACCCTGTGCATGGGGCTGTTTATTATAAGCCTCGGGAGGAAGCTGAGGCACACGAAGCTTAAGTAGTAACTTGCCCGAGGTCCAGAGGCAGGACTGGGATCCTGGCAGGCCAGCTCTGGTTGTACCAACTCTCACACTTCCATGCTCCCAGCTCCTGAGTAGACTCCTCTGTCCTTCTGCCCCATACTCTGACCCCACACCTTGTTAAATACTTTTGAAGCCAGTCTTGAGTGACAAGAGTGGGCAGATGTAAAGCCACTGAGAAAAAGACTTGCTGGGGCCCAAGACCATGGTCCCTGCACTCGCCCTGTACCTCTGGTCAGGGACAATTCTAGAAACGAAATTTCCGCTAGGATAGGTTCAGTTAAGCTGCTGGGCTGTCCACGGGTTGCCAAGTCCTAGCTCTCCTGGTTCCTATGGAGTAAGGATAAAGCTGGTCCCCCATGGGCTCCATCCAAAACCATCTCTGGGTTCTGGAACGAAGTCACTGCCAGGTGTGCCAGGGCAGTGAAGTCTGTGCCAAATGGTCCTTCAGCCCTGCCACAGATGAAGGATCCCAGCCCTGATGGATGGAGGTTAGGGAGCTCACCCATATATGCTAGGCCTGGGACCCCACTCCCTAAGCAACTGAATCGGAAGGAGCAACAGAGTGGCCACTTCCCTCTGGGGCCCCAGGACAGCAGCCGGGAGCCTGGAAAAGTGTGGGTGCCCTCAGCAAGGGCAGGAAGAACTCAGAGAGAACTCCCAGCCTGTGACCTTGTCCCTTCCCTGGTTTCTGCTCACTGCCCCGGTCCCAGGCTGTCAACCCTCACTATACCTGGAAAAGACTATAGCTCCAGTCCTACTCAAGAAACATTAATCAAGGCCCAGGTGGGGGTCAGGGTCAGAGTGCCCTGTCAACCTTACCAGAGCCATTAGGCGCAGTCCTCAGGGCAGGAATGACAGGCAGTAGCCACTGGACTGGCACTGGTGGATTTTTAAATGTAATCCAGGGGTGTCCCAGCCAGCTTCCCAGGTCCCTCCCATTTGCCTCTTCCGCTCCACCCAAGCCCCACACCCACTCCTGGATTAGCCACCTATCTAGGAAATAAGGCACCTAAACCTATACCAGAGCCTTTGTATGTGGGCTTAGTGATCCCCACCTCTGCCCCAGGTTCCTGGGAGACCCACCTTTCCCAGCTAACACCATCATGCCTGGTCCTGCGTCCCTGACCTAGAGGAGGGAGGCTCCCAGGAGACCTGGCTACCAGGGGCTGAGCAGAAGGAACAGGAAGATGGGGATCTGAGGGACCACTGAGGTTTGGAAGCAAGAATGGGCTTCCACAACAGGGGCGCAAGAGCTGAGGGCCCCCCAGCTCGGGCCTTTCACAACTTCCCAGTACCAGTAGGACAGGAATACCCAGTTTTGACTGAAGCACTGGGCCAATCCGAGAAGAATGCCTGGGACCCATCACCATTCGCAGGGGAGTGGTTTTGTTATATAAAACAGCCCTTCAAAGCCAAGTGCCAGCTTCCTCCATCCTCGGTGTCTGGGAATGGGGCCTGGCACTGAGAGGAAAGGGCACTGCTTGTCTCAGGCCTGTTTGTATTGGGAAGGAGTGAGGAGGCCACACCAAGGAACAGCCCAGGTGGGGTAGGTGCTTCTGTCCCCTCCTACCTGGGCTTGTTATGGGAGAAACAGGTGGTTTACCCCAGGGCACCAGCCCTGCCAGATGCCCTGGGGCTGGGGGGGAAAAGCAAACACGGCCAGGGCAAAGCTGGGGCAGCTTCAGAGGCCTGGAGTGAGTCCAGGCTAGAGTTATAACAGCAGAGACCTGGACTGGCCTGCTGCCTTGGTGCCACCTGAGTGCGGTGGCTGTCATGGCCAGAGTACTCCTCGGGCCAACATCTGGGCCACATCCTCACCCCCACCAGGGACATTCTGAAAACTTTACCTCAACTTCAAGCCCTCACCGGACCACAGCAGGCAACTTCGAGAGGGAGCATCACCACCTCTGAGTCACTTCCTTTTATTGAGCATTTCCTTGGTGCCAGCTGGCGCTGGGGCCTCAGACACCATCTCCAGGCTGGCCCCACAGCACCAGTGAGGTGGGGACCATTATTATCTCCCTTTTACAGATGAGGACAAAAATGCTCTGAGACACAGTAGCTTTGCCCAAGGCTACCCAGCAGGTGAGGCCGTGCTGGACCTGAAACCCTACCCCTCCCAGCTGACAGGTCACAGCCTCACCTGTGTGACTCTCCAGGAACCTTCACCTAGACCTGCCTGGCACTTCCTGCTCCTCTGATCTCATCCCAAATCCCAACCCACGCAGGGCCAGACCCTCCAGGCTGCCTTCAGAGTCCACAGGCCCTGAATGGGCCTGGCTGCTCCCTGAGCTGTGTGGCAATGTTCGCTGGGCTCCACTAGTCGAGGCCTGAGGCTCTGGTGAGGGAGTCAAGCAGCTGGAAGTAACTGTACTTGAGGTCATACTCCATATCGTACCAGAAATTCACTGTAGGAAGAACGGGGTGTGAATGGGAGGCTCCCTCTCCCAACTCTTCTCACTGCGAGCCTCCTCAGCTCGCCTTGAGGGGGGATGAGGCCCTGATTCCTCACCAGCAATGCAGCCATGGGACTGTTGTACGTGGTGGAACCACAGGGCGGGCAGGTAGAGCATCTCACCAGCCTTCACGGTGCAGCGAAGCGCCTGGGCCTGACGGTACCTGGGGTACCGGGCCAGATCTGGTGCCAGGGGGTCCAACGGGATCCAGGGCACCTAGAGACACACAGAATAACAAGATAGGTCCCCAGGTCCCTTTATAACGTCTTCTCCAAGTCCATTTATGCTGTCCAGCAACAGGACAGGGCCCAAGTCCTTTCCCCATAGGTCCTGAACTGCTCAGCACTGGATAGTTCCAATTTCAAGACTGTTCAAAAGAAGGTATCACCTCCCCAGATCCCATGTGCTTGCTTCTCAGAGTCCAGGTTCTTGCCTTCCCCTTCCCCTGCCCCCACATGTGAGGCTCATACCCTCCCTGGAGTTCAAGAACAAGATAGACACCTTCTCCATGGCGACTTCATCCACCACCTTAAAGGTGCCCCCCTCTGTGAGCTGGTAGGTTGCTGGTGTGTACAGTTCTGAAGCCAAAGAAAGAGCAAGAGGCTCAGCAGACAGTGCTTCCTGCCCACCCCTCCACCCCCACCTTAGACGTTCCCACTGGCTCCTGGGCCTCAGCGGCAAGGTCAAGGCCCTAGATACGTGGAGACGCCACAGGCCTTTCTGAGCCCTCGCTGCCCATCTTCTAGCTCAGGTCACCTGCTCCCCAGCAGGCTGTGTCCCTACCATAGGGGATGAAGGGCCGGTCACTGGGTGGATGTAACAGGAAGTGCTTCTCTCCAGAGACAACACAGTAGAGGTTCTCATAGTGGTCCTTGTGTACTGATAACACAAAGAAGCTTCCATGAGGAAGGTTGTGAGAAGAAGGGAACACAGGAAGGAGCAACCCACCCATCCTGGAGTGTCAACCCTCAAGACAGCTGAGCGTGTAAGAGAAGAATGTGAGAGGGATCAAAAGTATGCCCTAAAATCTTTAAACCCTAAGGTGTGCAGTTTGAATCCTCTTCTGGAGAAGGAAGGACAATCTCCTCTGTACCAGTCAAATCTGATTTGACGGTACATACACACAAAATAATAAAATAAACGAAAAAAATTCTTTAAACCCTAAACCGAAACTATCACCTGAAATCTTCTTAAAACCAAACAGTCTGGGAGAACTAGTGCAACAAGCCAACCTTGAGCATTATGCTCTATCATGGTCTGTGTGGAATCAAACTGACAACAGCACATCAGAAGCAGAGAGAGCACTGAGTTTAGGTTAACAGGGGAGAAATAACTTGGAAAAGGATGGTGTGATGGTTGCACAACTCCAAGCATGTCATCAACGTCAATGAAATGTACATGTGGAAGCCTGGTGTGGCTTTGTGGTGCATATTCTCAACAATAACAACAAAGTCAAAGCAGAGCCGAGGTCATGCCAAGGAGTTGACAGGCACTTTAGATCTTGTCCACCGGCTACTTGGCACTTGCCAGGCCCTGTGTTCACCTCTCTCAGAGAAATGTTCAAGCATGTGAGATTCCCCTAAGTTCACCTCCTGATCTAGCTGACCTGAGAATTTGGTTTAAGAACCTGTGTGTCCTGCCACCAATGCCACCCCACCTCAGCTTGCTGCGCAGACATTCTTTGTGCTGTTTAAGTCCTAGAATCCCAGAAGAAACCTAGGAATACAGTTGGCCCCACTTTTTTCCAGGTCCAACCTCCCATCCCTGGCCTCATTTCCCTACTCTTCATCTTCATATTCTCTGGACACCTACAGGATGTCACTGCAGCCGCCTCTCCCAGCCAGAAGTTTACAGCATCAGGCATCTTCCCTGTGGATCAGAAGAAAGGTAAGTTAGGAGCGGGCATCCCCAAAAGGCCAGGCTGGGGATAAACACTCTATAGGGATGTTGGGACAAAAAACTGGGTAGGAACAGAGGGGTCCCAGGGAAGATGAGGAGAAAAAAGCTACAAGTCTGAAGAGCTTGAAGAAGGGATCTGTTACCCTCCCTGAGGGAGAAGGATGCAACAATTTTCAGCAATTTATCTACTATCACATCAAGGCCTGAGGATTTAAGCCTCTAGTGGGAAACACCTAAATCTGCAGGGTTAGGAGTGTGGGCTAAGTCCTGAGGGAAGGGACAGCAGCAGTCCCCAAGGCTGGTCCACTCCTTCCACAGCTCCCCTGCCTGCCCAGTCAGTGACCACCCTTGCCTGTTCCTCCTCCACTTACCCAGCGCCTCAGAGGCCCAGGGCACATGAGGCTCCAAGTCAGGCAGCAGCTGGGGCAGCTCAGTGGGCAGATTGGAGCACTGCTTCTGCACATAGAGGATGCCAGGGTGCTGGGCCCTGCCCTCCAGCACGTCCAGCACGTGGCTCAGGGGTAGGCGGCGCTCAGCAGGCATCACAAAGCGATCTCCTCGCACGGCATCTGCATAGCCATCTGGAGTCACAGCCACACTCACCTCTGTTGCCCCAACTGTGGCCCTGGAGGAATGGACACTCAGGCCACACCCACACGCCACAGAACACCCTGCCCCCTGCCCCAGGCCAGCTCTCACCTCAAGTAAGGGAGTGACCACTTCTGGAGGGCTGGCCAGTGCTGAAGGGCATTGCGGATGATGCAGGGTCTGTTGGGGCCAACCCAGTCCCGGTAGAAGTGGAGTGGAGTCGGGGGCCCATCCAGATAGGGCACAGCCAGAGGTATGCTGAGCTCTGCGAGAGAGGAGGATGGGTGCTCAGAGCAGCACCACCCAGCCCTTGCCCCATCACCTCTGAAGGAATGCCTTCCCTGGACAGGCCACGCTGTGTCACTGAGGAATGCCCACTGGAGTGACCTGGGGATCCTGGACAATCAGAGATCAAGGAATGCGGAGAGAAAATTAAAGGGGAAACTGTAAAGCACACACAAATAATACTCCATAACAGGCTACAAGAGTTCATAGCACTGGGCTCCTGCTTGCTCAGCCCATTCCCCAAACTGTCCACGGCACAAGGCTGAGCCATGCAGGTGGGGGACCCCCACTTGCTGGGGTCAAAGTCCCAGCACCATTAGGAAAGACAGCCTTCAAACAGTGCAGGGTGTGCAGAACAAGCTGAAGCCCAGGGCAAAGGGCTGGCCTGGGTGGGGCATGGCCCTGTGAGGTCCTCCAATACGGAAGAGTTACTGAATATTCTGGAATGTGTTCAGCATTTGGCTTGACTAGTGTGGAGAAAACCTTGAGTCTTACTGAACCATACTGTGACACCTAAGTAAATGTCTGTAAAACACGAACTCCCAACATCTCACTGTTGTCCCTGCTGACCCTCCAGCAGGTTTCAGAGGCTGTGAAGAG